TACTTTGGCAATTTTTGCATCACCTCTTGTGAGCTGGAAGAAATAAAATGTTGATAGTTAGACACGATTTTTCAGAGGAGGATCAGCCATATATAGTTTGTCAAGTAGTGAGGGCAGGAAGAGCCATGCTGCTGAGAGCGAACCATCAGTGTGGAGCGCAAAGCGCAGACTCTGAGCTAAGTGCGTGCACAAGCACAACTGGAAGAGCAGAGTTTGTTAGAGTTGAGCACTCCGCACCGGACCCTTTACTTTGACCCCCGCTGCTGCTGTCATGGTCCATTTGTGGTCATACAGAATGTGCACCGCTGCATGCCAGGCGGGCGGCACGAGCCAGCTGGATGCAGCAGTGCGGCTGATACTGCTTAGCAGATTTAGCACAATGATACATTTTAAATGTCTGACAGACCAACCGCTAACGTTTCTATTCAGTCTCCTCCCGTCAACAAAAACTCACAGCCATGAGTCTTCATGTTTTTGTCATCTAAGATCCATGCTTAACTCGTCATTTCTTGTTATCTTCACACAAAAAAAGGAGCGTCAACGAAATAATATGGTGATCGTCATTGTTGATGAAAACAACACTGATGAGAGCCCCATTATCAGGAGACACACTAGATCACTGGGACAGGGCAGACCAAAAAAAAAACCACAACACCACGCGTCCAACACCACATCAATAGCCGCAAAACAACCAACGGCACAACCCAAAACAACAACAGCAACAACACAACCAACACCACTAACGTTGGATGGACAGGGACAGCAGGCGTCATTATGTGAAAGCTAAAATGAAGCACAGTTGTGTCTGATTTTTTATGTTGTAGGCGTTGTGTGGCTTTTCTATTAGGGGGACTTTTCAGGGCCACTGTGGATTTTAATCCCCACATTGTACAGATATTGGAATCTGTGCTTAAATGTCAGCCAAATCCATTTGCACAGGGACAGATAAAAACATTCAATAAACCAAACATAACCTGCCACATCTGTCTCAATATCTATTTTAATTAACAGGCCTGTGTAAGGTTCCAAGCATTTACAACTAAGTCATGGAACTAATTCCCAAGAAGTTACATAAGACCTCCCATTATGATTCAAAAAACTATTCAGGCCATGCACAACAGAAGGCTCCAACAAGCCAGAATAACAAGGGTGGCTAATTGAATAGCATCTGACTTGGAATGTGTGCAGGAGGATGGACCTCCATGCTGTGTGAATACATCAGCGCTCCAACTAGAGTTTGCTCTGGGGCGAGGCATCAGAACTGACAAAGACTATTGGATAGATATTGAAATGTCTTTCAAAAACAGAGCGAAATCTGATTGCCTTCCAAATGCAGCCTGTTTGTGGTCATTTAAATGAACAATTTTCATTCATTTCAGAAGGAACTATTCACATGTATTATACTAAACTGGACTTAAAATATTCCCCACTTTTCAGCAACATTTCCCTTTTTCTTCTCATCATGGAGCAGCCGGATTGCTTGGACTCCCAATGAATCATGTGACACCCAAGGTTACGAAGGATACTGCAGACCTGTCCTTCAAAATGGCCGAAAAGAAGGCTGCATCTGTTGGGCACATATGAAGGGGTCTTTGGCCAATTCTCAATATTCAATTCAATTCAGTTTATTTATATAGCACCAAATTCACAACACATGTCATCTCAAGGCACTTTACAGTTCAACCAGATTATACAGTCAAATTGATACAAAGTTTTCTATATATAATATATATACTTGTGCGTTCTCGTGTGCTTGTGAAACGTCATCTGCCTCAGCCACAGCACTGTGGGAGAACAGTGAGACAAATGCCGTTCCTCATTATGTGTACTTGTGCGTTCTCGTGGGCTCGTGTGCTCGTGAAACGTCATCAGCCTCAGCCCTATTACTGTTCCAATTCACAGGAACAGCAGACCGAAAACGGACAAAGTCCCCAGATGCTGTTCTCACCCCTCCCTATTTACCCAGCATGCATCAGAGCAGACTTGTTCGTTCTTGAGATATACAGCTGTCCCATCATGCACTGCGGCAGATGCAGCGTAAAAGTTCTCTTTTCTTTTGCTTTTGTTCAGTAAAATTACGTTTTAAAATAATTTGAGGCGAGAATATTATACTTTAAAGCATCACTATATGGTCCATTTACTGATTTAATGCATATTTTAAAATACATTTCCGAAATTGAGAGGACCGCAGCAACCAACCAGGGCTAACCACAACCCGTCTGCAGCAGGCGTCTCTGGGCATAGCCGTGTGTGAAGTACCACTGGCTCTGATGCTATTTTTTTGTTTTATGTGGCAAAATGCTCATTTGATTTTTGTTAATCTGACTGTTTTAATTATTATTAATTAATACAAGTTAATGTTAATTATTATTCCCTACACTAAATAAAAAAAGGAGGAATTATTATTATTATCTAGAGACTATCAATAACAGCATGTGAAAGGCGGTGACGTCATCAGTACGCTTCTGTTTCAATTGAACCATATCAATGCTGCATGCTCTCGTTCTCCCAAGTCCACACCTTCCTGTGTTCTTTTCAAGAACAGACTTGGCGAGAACATGAGTCCATACTTGCGTTCTTGTGAATTGAAAAACGGCCAAAGTCTCTGGTTATTGTTCCCTCCCTTTTTACCCAGCATGCATCAGAACAGACATGTGCGTTCTCCTGACTGACAGCTGTCCCAGCATGCACTGCGGCAGTATTGGCTTCCAGGGGAGCACTCACAGAGCCCAGACTATTAAGGTAAAATTTTACTTTTCTGTTGCCACCATTTAAAAAAAGTATGTTTTAAGATAAATTTAGGAGAGAACATAATACTTTAAGCTTTACTATATGGCCCATTTACTGATTTAGTGCGTTCTTAAAAAAAAA